AAGAGGACAGGTGACCCACCACAATTACAGGACATTTTGAGAGATGCTCATAGTCCCCTGGAACTAGTCGACCTAGGAGGGCAAGGAGCAAAAAGTGTCCTTTATGTCCCTCTGACCAAATTATTACAGGCTTTAAAGTATGTCTGTTAAACACCCAAAAAGGTTAGTTCCACAAGACTGGAATTTTTAAATACTCTGTGTCATGTAGATAAATCTTGGGCAAAGACAAGTTGTTCTCAGATAAGCCTTACCTAGACATATATTTCTTGATCTGCTATATATAATTTGTTGGCAAGTTGTAGGAGTAATATGGTTCCCTTTGGTTTTTCAAACTAGATAGGCATTTTTTATCTCTCACATTTTCTCACCCCGCCATCATGGTTTTCCCACTTAAGGTGTCCCCATTTCCCCCCTTTCTCCCTTACTAATACCCTTCTCCTATGGTCCTACCTCTCTTGAGCTCCTTCTTTCCCTTTATCCCCCAGGTAAGACCTTTATTTATTCATTTTTTGACAGAGGGTCTCCCTGTAGCCCCAGTTGGCCTAGAACTCACTCTATAGACCATGCTGGTCTCAATCTCACAGAGATCCGCCTGCCTGTTTCTGGGATGCTGGGATTAAAAGTGTATACCACCAGGCCTGGCAAGGGATTTTTAAGAACTGTAAACATGCCTTTCTAAATGAAGCCAGACACTTCAAGTGTTTTGCCTGAATGTATGTAAGTGCATCCATGTCATGCAATGACCACAGTAGCCAGAGAAAGGTATCGGATCCCCTGGAATTGGAGTTGGGGACAGTTGTTAACTATCATTTGGTTGCTAGGAACCAAACCCAAGGCCTCTGCAACACCAGTCAGTGCTCTTAACTGCTTAGCCATTTCTCCAGCACCCAATATGCTTAGTTTTTAAAATGCAGAACTTGAAAGCAAGTCTTGTAGTACTTCTGAGCCATTATAAAGATGACTGGAATTTTTCTCAAAATATGACTTATTTTTCACTTACATGTGCCTATATTAAGATTCAGAGTCAAAAGCACAGCGTTCTCACCAAAGTATCCAGTTTAGCACATGACAACTGCAGAGACACAGCTACAGAAATGATGCAATCTTGTTTTTGGCCCAGAACATATATGATATGATTGACTTCTGTTTGATCTGCAAAGATCTACACAATATATAGCAAGAGTTTTATGTATGCCTAAATAGTATGCCACACATCACCATGCTTGAGGAACAAAGACTTTCTTCATAAACTAAAAACATTTTTGAAAAACAGTTTATTGAGTCTTAACTGTTGTTTGGTATTTGTTATACCTAAAAATTAATAAGATGGCTTTATGGCTTTCAGATATAACCTGGGAATTTTAGGGGCATACAACAGCTCAATTCCTCACTTGTTATAAGCAGTAAGTCCAAGCCCACTGGCAAGAATGTCACCTCCACTTTCTATGTCAAGATTCCAGCTTCTATCCGCTATACTATCTTTTTTAACATATTAGCCCAGCCACTCCCAAATCTAAAAGAACTAAATGATTTTCTTCTTCCTCATTATCTATAATTCAATAGCTTCTTTATAGTTTTCTTCAATACCAGATCTGACATATGAAGGCTAAGTTGTAAAAAACCAAGAGAGAAGTTCTCACAATTCCCAAATCCAGAGAAGCTCAAAATAACCCACAAGCCTTCTGCAGTGCAACATACATACTTCTAGTATAGGAAATCCTATGCAGAACGCGTTTCTTAATCATCCAGGTGGCTATCATATTTAGACTGCTACAGCAACCTCACAGTCTTCGGCTTCTGCTTCTAGCTCCAATTTAGTCTACACAACACAGATATATAAAGCTTTCCAAACAAATGCTCAAAGCTTCCTTTGAAACTTAAGAATAAAGCTTGTTTTATAGTTGTCTTCAGTTTGTTTGTTTATTTGTTTTTGACAAGGTCTCACTAAGTGACCTCTGGCTGGTCTAGAACTCACTATGCTGAACAGGCTGGCCTAGAACACACTATGTAGACAGGCTGGCCTGGAACCTGCCTCTGCCTCCTGAGTGCTGGGATTAAAGGCATGTACCACCATACCTCATAAGAATAAGGTCTTTGTTGTTGTTGTTGTTGCTATTTTTTACTTCTTAAGAGTTATTCTGGTTCACAATTTGAGGGCACAGTCCATCATGGTGGGGAGTCATGGTAGCAGCAGCGTGAGTCTGGACACACAGAGAGAACCTGGTACTCAGCTGTCTTTCTCTTTTTTTCTCTTTTTATTTAGTCAATGGCCCCAGTCCATGAGATGGTGCTGCTCACATTCTATATGGATCTCCATCCTCAGTTAAACCCCTCTAGAAACAGTGGCACAGACACACTCAGAAGTGTGTTTCCATGGTAATTCTAAATCTAGCTAAATTGACAATGAAGATGAACATCACAGAGCTTTAGTGAGGGTGGCTCACACTAGGTTAAAGTTTACACCTGAGTGTCCAATCTTTTGAGACTACAACATGACATTGTTAACTACACACTTCATCTTTGAGAACTTTGCAATCAAGTTAATACACATATATTATTATACATATTATTATGTTACATATATATCACACAAAAATCCTCACAATGTTTTAAGTATTTACAAATTTTTCAAGTGTTTACAAATTTTATATCTGGCCTCATTCATAACTATCAAAAATAGGTTTTAAGAAAGAATCATCTTAGTCAGGTGTGCTGGGGCTTGTCTTTGATCCCAGCACAGGGGAGGCAGAGGCAGGAAGATCTCTGTGAATTTCAGGCAACTGGGGCTATAGGGAGACGCTGTCTCAAAAAGACCAAAAAAAGAATCATCTTTCATAAGTCTTCAAAAGTTAAGCTTCACTTAAATTTACAAAAAACACATTACCAAAATATACTTTGAACCATGCAAACTTCTTTGGTATGCTATCAAATAAACAGGAACCCAAAAATATACACAAAAACTACAAAGTTCTCTATTTGATTCACCACCTGACATTATCAATAAGCACGTGAGTCATAAAACCAATTGCCAAGACAAAATTAAGTTAAAAGTAAATCAATAATAAATGGTGTAGGTGGTGGATTACAGCCATCTAGGTAGATTAAGGCACAGTAAAATGTGAGCCTTTTTAGTAGTAGCAATGAAATGATGCTCTGCTACAAGTGGGCCTGGCACTGAACAACGTGAAGCCACAGTGCTGAGATAGAAAACTTCCTCTAACTGCTGAGACATACATACATACACATACACACACACACACCCCTACCTCTAAGGTCTAAATTATTAAAAAAGAAAAAAAAATCAGAAAAAAGAAACAAGTGAAGCTCCTTACATTTGATTTATGAAGAAAACAATTCATTGTTTTTTTAATTGAAACTAATTTTAAGAAGTGTTTAATTTGGGGCTGAAGAGATGGCTCAGGGGTTAAGAACACTGGTTGTTCTTGCAGAAGACCCGGGTTCAAATCCCAGCACCCACATGGCAGCTAACAACTGCCCATAACTCCAGTCCCAGGGGATCTGACAGCCTCTTCTGAACACTGCAGGCACTGCATGACACAGGTGCACTTACCTACATGCAGGCTATACATGCATAAATAAAATGAAAATAATAAATAAGATTTTTTTAAAAAGTGTTTAACTTCAATATGTCAAGTCTTTAGGTATAACTGCCAGTAAACACAGAGTAGAAAAGAATAAACTAAATGGTACTATAAAAGAGACAATTGGACCAGCCCAGAAGAGCACTCTGAAAACCCTGAGAGACTTCAAAATCTACCACCAACAGCTGTGATGGTTTGAATAAACTACCTAAAAAGGATAATTTAGGATCACCTTGCAGGAAATGAAATTTTATTGAAATTGAAAGATTCAATATAAGAGTAGGAAAAAAATTTTTTAAAACTATAAAATGACTTCTATCTTGCTTAATAGTAATATATACATTATCCCTTGAGAACATCTATGTTTATATCAACAAAGATCTGGAATAGATGTACTAAGACACATCTCTTTATTCATAAAACTGATTTCTGAGTGATGAGAATGTGATATTATAATTTATTTCTTGGTTTTTCTAGCCTGAATTTCTTAGTATATACTCATTTAAATTATAACAGTTTATTTAGAATAAAAGATATCAAACCAACAAGCAGGAGCCTGCAGGACCCAAATGATTTTTAATTACTAACAATTCAAATTAAGTTTACTACACAGGACAAGTTTTTTCCCCCAGTGTTAGAGCTGAAACCAAGGGCCTCACACATTACAAGCATGCATCCCATCACTGAGCTGCATTCCCAGCCAATGTTACATATTTTCATCTCTTAGAAACTCTGTCAGCCACCTATAAATATCACAAAAAAAAAATTAGAACTACTATTCTCAACTATGATGACCTATCTCAGAAATACACCTATGTCCTTGCAAAAAAAAATCTAGTAAAATCCAATCACTTCAGAAACAAGTTGAACTTCTATCTTAGAAAAAGCCAGTTAACAGAACCAGAGAACAGTAAATGACGTTCATCAGGCTACCAAACCAGGTAATCTCACCAAAACCTAATTTTGCATATCTAAAAACACAGAAAGCTGAAGAATATTTAGAAATATATTTGGAATATAGGCTTGGACCTCTAAAGCTTTATTTTATAATCCACTATTCCCAGCTATTACATGTGTTTGACATATGAACATTCCATTAGCACACTCAGTACCAATGATACATATTTTCAATCGCTTTTACTGATTAAGCTGTGAAATAGTTCTTTTGGATTTCAACATACCGCTGCATTCCTGCTCTGAAGCAAAGGCTTTGTGTTTCTAATTAAGAGTCTGTGGTCTGGATCCATAGTATATGGCTTCTTTTTGTCACTCTTTCCCTTCTGTTCATCATCAGATTCATAGAAATTCTTTTCATTGTCTTCTAGACCATCATCCTGTGAAGAAAAGAATCCAAGCCCAAGATGAGTTCAGACAGTGACCAGTCTAGACATTATATAGCCAAAGAAACCTTTTCTTTTAAAACATCTCAATAAAGGGATGGGAAGTGCTTGCCTTGCAAGTGAACCCAACACTGGAGAGGCAGAGGCAGTGATCCCTGGGGCTGGATAACCAGCCATTCTAGCCCAATCAGAGCCTCATGTCCCAGTGCAACACCATCTGAAATACTGGCCCAAAGTGCAAGAGAAGTGATGCTGGCATTCCAGTATGCCTAAGAGAATTCATATGGTACTTCCATTGAGTGAAAAGGTGAAACTTCACAGCTTAATAAGAAAAAATAATCCTGAGGTAAGGTTATTAAGATCAAGAGTTAAGTTACTGTTAATCTCTCACTGTACATACATTGTAATTAAACTTTATCAGAGATATGTATGCATAATAAAAGAGTATTATATATTCATATACATATGTATGCACTTAATTCAGTGCTATTGGCAGTTTCACGCATGTGCCACAAGATGTTGGGACAAATACCTGGCAGATAAAGTGGGGATGCTGTACAACATGGGTACATGGAAATAGGAATGGTTCATATCCCAGTTGAAACAGAGAAAGATAAGCCCTGAGTTTGAATCCTTGTACCTATAAACTGATCATGCTGGCAGACACTGTAATCTTAGTACTAGGGAAATAGATGCTGGAGTTTCATCAGGAGTTCAAGGTCATTCTTGGTTACAAAGTGAGTTTGAGGCCAGCCTGGGATACAAGAGATGATATCTTTTTTAAAAAAGTAGAGGTGGGGGAGGTAAATAAAATCTTACCACTTAAAATGTAACATGAGGATACCAGCAGACTGTGATATATTGTGCACAAAGAACGCAATACCTAGAGTAACCTCCAAAAATGCTATGTAAGGACATAGTAATAACTATAGGTAAAATGGCATTCATTAAAAAAATATGTTCAAAGAACCCAAAGAAAAGCAGGAGGGAAACATAGAAATGAAGAACAGAGAACAAAGAGAAATAAAACTAAATTGGAAAATTTAAACCTTAAAAATCAAGTTAGGGTAAATATGAATAAATATACCAATTAAAAGGCAAAAGTCCAGGGGCCGGGTGTGGTGGCGCACGCCTTTAATCCCAGCACTGGGGAGGCAGAAGCAGGTGGATCTCTGTGAGTTCGAGGCCAGCCTGGTCTACATAATGAGTTCCAGGACAGCTGGGGCTACAGGGAGACCCTGACTCAAAAAGACCAAAAAAGAAAAAAAAGGCAAAAGTCCAGAGCAGAGTGTATTAAAACACATGACCCAACTGTATGCTGTCTATATGAAACTCACTTCAAAAATAATGACACATACTGAAATTTGTAAAAGGATGAAAAAAAATGTAACAAGTTAATGATAATTAGGAAGAAACAGTTGTAACTATATTACTGTTAGATATAGTATACGCCAGAACAGATAAAATTGCTATAGGCAGAGGCATCACATAAACACAAAACATGATTTTTTTTTTTTTTTTAAGGAAATATCTCTATGAAACCCAGGCTGGCCTCAAATTCATAATCCTCCTGCTTGAGCCTCATGAGTGTTGGGTATGTAACTTTTGTTTTGTTTTGTTTGTTTTCTCAGACAGGGTCAACCTGTAGACCCAGACAGCCTGAAACTCGCTGTATAGTCCAACTTGGCCTCAATCTCACAAAGGTCTACCTGCCTCTGACACCTGAGTGCATGTAACATTCTTAAAATGATTAAAATTATAGAAATGGAGAAAGACTACCAGAGTTTCAGGCCAAGGGAAGGGGTTGTGGTTAAGCTACCACTAACTTACTGCTAAATATGTGGACTTAGATATAAAATGGTTAAAGTATCCTTGCAATAGAATTATTCAAATTCCTGACTGTATCAATATCCTGATCATATTGTTAAACTATAGTTTTGCAAGATATTACTATACAAGATATCTCTAAAGTAATTCTTAAAATTGCATATGAATATAAATTCTTAAAACATTAAGTCAATAAAATTAATAAATAAAAGAATTCACTTAAAAGCAATTTATATATGTATTGTAACAACAAATGAAATCTAAAATGTTTTAAGCTAGTATCATTTAATAAACTATTTTTCAATTGCTAAGTATTTCCATAAGCATTTGGCAAGACCATGTAGGCTTAAATTATCCAAAAATAACACTGGAAAAACACTTTTTGTCAAAAGTGTAACTTTTAGGTCTCTTAGAAATCCTCACAATAACAATAGCTCAGTGTTTGTTAAATGTACAATAAAAGTTTTCAAGAAACTAGCAAAACAAGCTGGATCTGCAGCTCAGTTGAGAGAGTACATGCCTAGCATACACAAAGCCCAGAGTTCCATCCCCAACACCACACAAACTGGGCATAAAGGCCACACTACAAATCCCAGCACCCAGGAGATGCCAGCAAAAGGGTCAAAGTTCACTAAGTTATCTACTTAGTGAATTTGGTGCCAGCCATGGTAACATGAAATCCTATCTCAACCCCCCCCCCCGCCCCACATACATACAAACTAAAAAATCCAGAATTTATCCAATCAGAAGATTTACCCAACTTATACTCATTGGGGAAAAAAAAATATGGGGAGACCCTGTTTCAAAAAAATAAATAATAAAATTTAAAATGTAAAATTTAAAATGTAAAAGTCATTACCTTCACTTAGATACAAAATTCAAAATAAACAAATTGCTTTATCTAGTGCTTAAAGCACATAATAACTGAGATACACTTTCAGATCAAGGCCAGTTGAACACACCTTTATGGAGCTCTGGACCCAAGTGGTTCTAGTATGTGCATTAGTAAGCAAACAATGCTACATAAATACTATAACATGAAGCACTTAATTATTATAGTCCAATTATTATAGTTGAACTATAAGCACTCATTTAAAACTTTCAATCAACATTAAATCAGATGTCAAATTCTACTTGACAATGATATATGATTAAATATTTAAAATTTTTTTACTAGCAGCCGGGCATGGTGGCTAGCAGCCGGGCATGGTAGCATCCAGGCATGGTAGTCCCAGCACTTGGGAGGCAGAAGCAGGCGGATTTCTCTGAGTTCAAGGCCAGCCTGGTCTACATAGTGAGTTCCAGGCCAGCTACGGCTATAGGGAGACCCTGTTTCAAAAAGACCAAAAAAATAAAAAAAATAAATAAATAAAATTTTACTAGAAAACATAATTTTTTTTGGTTTTTTTGAGACAGGGTCTCTCTGTAGCCCTAGCTGGCCTGGAACTCACTATGTAGACCAGG